GCTTGAGTAATTTTTATTCCTACTTCCTGGAATGGTCAGTTGCATCTCTCCCTATTTTTAACTCAATAATTTCTATAAATTCATCTCAAGATAATCCTGTGATTCTCATTTCATGTTCATATCAATTCTATTATTTGTCTAAAAATTACAAATATTCCTGGGTTGGCTGGTTATACCGCCTTTATAACCTGGATGAGGGCACTCACAAGCACTCAATGTGAATTCCTTTGGAAAAGATCTCTTCATTTTCTCCTAAGAGGCTCCCATCCTCAAAAGTTTAAAATCTATAATTGAGAGCATATTCGATTCTTGCAACAACCCCAACTTTGCTGCACACAATTTGTTGAAAAATAAGTTACTACTCAGATGATTAAACACTTTACTTACTTTTCCACAAAGGTCAGATTATAACTTGTGCGTGTTACTTTTTATATTGCTATGAAAAGACACCTTACAAAAGCAACAGAGGAAGGGAGGGAAAGAGGGATAGAGGGTGGGTTTGCTGTGGCTCAGTTTCACAGTACAGCCTATCAGTGGGAAGTCAGTGTGAGGCCACTGGTCTTGTTGCCTATATAGACAGAAAGCAGAGAGACAAGTATCTGTGCTCAGCTGAACTTTTGCTTTTTATGCAGCTCCAGGACCCATGGGATGGTGACACATTCAAAATGTGTCTTGCCTCTTCAGCTAACCCTTTCTGGAAAAACTTTTCATGAACGCATGCAGAGTTATTTTTCCATGGTGATTCTAAATCCAGTAAGTTGACAGTGCCTATTAAACATCGCACCAGATGACCACAAAGAAGCTGATCTCAAGCTGTTCCACATTGCTCCCCACGTAAGTACTTCTCTGACAATGCACTTTACCTAGTGGCTCCTTCCTGGGATACTTTCTTCTGAGGACTCAGTGCATTTCCCACTCTATCTTGGAACCTACTATGATCACCTCCTCTAGGAACCCTTTCTTACCTTGGGATACACAATGGGCAAGTTTAGACTGTGAAGTCACAGATTCTATTGGCCTACCACTGTACCACTATTGGTCTACCACTTACTAGCTATGACACTAGAAAGAGACTGTATTTCAGCAGCAGCATCTGAAATGGGATGATAAGAGTTACTAACAGCCATGGCTGAGGATTAAATGAGAAAACTGGAGGAAAGCATTCGGTTCCACTCCTGGTAAATGATAAGCACTATCCTGATGCTTAGCTATTGCTGTTAATGACCCAGAGTATACCATTCACTTGAAATATGCATTCTTTAAGATTTATGTTTATATGTTCTTACAAGACTGTGACCCTGTTAAATTTCAGTTATTCAGTCTGTTTCACAGACCTGTGCATTTTGTCCAGCTTATAGATACCTCCAAAAAGGCATTATTGCATTAAATTACACATCTAGGAAGGAAATATATTTTTGAATAAGAATTTGAAATTTTAAATGCAATAAAATAAAGACAAAAGCATGCATGTGACCCGGGAATACTGCAGATTAACCATCACATGTTCGTGTCCATCCCCCATCTTAATTCTCAGAATTAACTCCCATGGAGTGTATCTATAGCTTGTGAATAGGAGAACTGACACCCAGTCACAGAGCAACCTGAAACATTCCCTCTCCGTCACCTGTTCCCTCTCAGGCTTCCCTTCTTCCTCTGCCCTAATGGGAAGTAAGTAGCTAAGCCTTTCTTCCAACTGAAATAAGAATGTAAAAGTCTACAAATGCTCTGTCACCCACTACTGACAACAGTGCTCTCCAAGGAGCCCTTCCTCATGGTGACCACAGTCCTCTCTTCCAGGAAAACACAGAAAAAAAGCCTACCATGTGCCATGGGCAGAGCACAAAAAAGACAGTTATCTGTCCATGCTTTTGGGTATCTCCAGGCTTTTCCTGTCGTTTTGTGCAGCTGAGGTGAAGCATAAAGCTATCAAAAGCTGCAAATAGTCCTTCCCTCTGGAGACAGGCTTTTTCTAGAAGAAAGGACCTGTAGCCTCCCAGAGCATTGTTCAACCAGATTAGAGAGAGGATTAAGCAGATACATCCTGCTATTCTAACATTTTCTTTAAGCCTTGAATACGCCTCTCACACTCAGATAATCACATTATTTTTAGCACTAAAAGATTCCTTTTAGAGAAGGTAACTAAATGGCGTATGCCACCCAGAGAGGGTCCCTATTTTATCCAGCACCAACACAAACAAAAGAGATTTGTATTCTCAGAGGTTTTCCTTGTTCAGAAAGAGGAAAATTGGGAAAGGAGATCAAGGTAGAAATGTAGCCAGTCCCTCTGTGGTTAGAGCTGGGAAGACTGAGAACTCCCTCAATGTGAAGGCCAACAAAAGCAGAAGGCAATCCAGAGACTGAGACAAGGGTAAGGAGTTGGGAGAAACAGGGTAACCTAGAGGCTGAGATAAGCGTAAGGTATGGGCAGAGACAGGGGTAGTTGCCTTTCTTTTTTTTTTTAATTTTTATTTTGATTTTTTTTGATTTTTCGAGACAGGGTTTCTCTGTGTAGTTCTGGCTGTCCTGGAACTTACTCTGTAGACCAGGCTGTCCTCGAACTCAGAAATCCACCTGCCTCTGCCTCCCAAGTGCTGGGATTAAAGGCATGTGCCATCACTGCCCAGAGGTAGTTGCCTTTCTGCTGCAGAAAAATTACATTTGGAACCAAGGAAAAGTAAAACAGCTCAACACTGGAATTATACAACTGCTAGTTATTAGCTCTGAGGCCAGTGTTATAATTTCTTGGCTCTATAGACACCAGAAGGAAGTTCTCTAAATTTACTTATTCCAATGGAATCTCAGTAGTTAAGGTAACAAAAGATTTTTTTTTAAAAAAAATCACTCCAATTCTGTACAATCCCCATTTCCTATGTGTTAAAGTAATCACATTATTAATTATAAAGTTATTTAAAATAGTTTTTCTTGTTTGTTTCTACAGTGGGGTCTTGCTTGGTTGCCCTTAATGGTTTTGAATTCTTGAGCAAAATTTATCTTCATGCTGGGGCCTCTTGAATACCAGGGGTTGCAGATGGATCCATCATGCCCAGGAATAAAGATTTAATAGAGCTTATTCTGTATTTTGATTTTCTCTCATGTTAAAATTGAACATAAGAACTGTTAAGTTAGTTAATATCCGTTAAGGCGAATATACAGAAAACGAACAGAAGTAGAACCAAATCACACTTGCATTCTTGCTGTTTACTTCTTCAGAAAAATGCAACTTCACCTAATACACTAATACACTAATACAAATCACACTTGCATTCTTGCTGTTTACTTCTTCAGAAAAATGCAACTTCACCTAATACACTAATACAAATCACACTTGCATTCTTGCTGTTTACTTCCTCAGAAAAATGCAACTGCACCTAATAGTTAACATTAAATGTCAAAGTATCTTAAATCTTCCAAATTAGTAAAAAGATTTTAGGAAGAAATGCAGAGATGGGGGATGGAGCATTCCACTGAGGGCATGGCCAACCAATAAACGGCCCAACTAGAAACCTGTCACATGGGCAAGCACCAAACCCTGACACTATTAATTGACACTCTGTTATACTTGCAGACAGGAGCATAAATGTCCTCTGAGAGGCTCCACCCAGCAGGTGTCTGAAAGATACCCACAGCCAAACATTGGATAGAGCTCAGGGACTCTTATGGAAGAGTTGGGGGAACAATTGAGGGCCCCAAAAGGGATAGGAACTCCACAAGAAGACCAACAGAGTCAACTAGCCTGGAACCTTGGGGGCTCTCAGAAACAGAACCACCAACCAAATAGCACACATGAGCTAGACTTAACCCCCCAGATGTGTAGCTTGATCTTCATGTAAATCCCCCAACAACTGGAACAGGACTGTCTCTAAAGCTGTTGCTTGTCTGTGGACTACATTACCCAACTAGCCTCCCTTATCTGGCCTCAGTGGGAGATGACGCCTAGCCTTAAAGAGACTTGATATGCCAGGAGTTGGGAGGGGGGGGCGGGGATCCAAAAGGGTGTCCTCCACCCTCTCAGAGGAGAGGAGTAGGGGAAGTGGAGAGGGGGACTGTGTGTGTGTGTGTGGGGGGGTGACTGGGTGGGGACAGTGATTGAGATGTAAAGTAAATTTTAAAAAATATTTTAAAAAATATTTTGTAAAAAATCAACTTAAAATCCTAAAAGTAATGTTCTCCACTAAATCTTTCCCTAGCCTAAACATGAGCTGAACAAGGACAACACCAAAGTGGTTAGGAAAGTCTGCCAAGGCTCCACCCTATGCAAAGAACTAGAGGCAACTACAGAAAGCTGAGAGCTGGAGAAACAGTCTTCCCCAGGGATGCACATACCAACCTGTTATTTAATACTGAATGGTCAACCCTGAGAACATTCACTAAAGTAACATTATATAGATTGTACAGTTTGCATTTAGAAAACTATATGCACATACATATATGTATGCACAATTAATTTTAAAAAGAGACCATGTATTTAAAGAGACCAAGGAGGGGCATTTGGGACCATTTAAAGGGAGGAAAGAAAAAAATAGAAATGTTGTAATTATAATCTTGAAAACAAGAAAGCAGTAATAAAACAGAACCTTGTCAGGGATCTAGGGACAGTTTCTAAAAAGCAAGACATGTTTCCAAACCGTGGTAAGAACATGACTAAGAAATTAATAGACTGAGAGAAGAGGTCAGGTCTTCTGTTGAGAAGAAACTGTTAGTCTGTGTCCCCCAGAGGTTTGGATTCAATCTTACTTCCTATGCTGGAAAAGTCCCTTTGAAGAAAGGTCCGTGTAAGGACTGCTTAAAAGTTCCCAGACCTGGGAAATCAGAAGGCTCCGGCATTTATTAACGTCAAATGCACTGCATGCTCGAATGACTCTGCCTGTCCTCTGGAAGCCACACAGGAAAGTCCCCAGGCACCTGCTGCTTGGAATCCTGACGTTCAAGCCTTTAATGATACTGGTAACAATGACTGGAACATAAAATTTCTTTACAAAATAAGCAGACGTACATTCTACTTTTTGTGAATTTTTAAAGATTTTTTTTTATTAACAGAATTTGTTCAGTTTTAAAGTAAAAAAAAACAGCACTTTTCCTAAATTGGCAGAATTTAGCCAGATCACCACAAAATTGACCTTGGAAACAAAGAGAGCCGGAGAAGGCCAGATTCCTTCCTGGCAGTACCACGGTGGCAAATATCCCAGAACTAAGGAGAGCTGCCAAGTGGGGAAGAGATAAAGAAAGGACTTTCCAAAAGCAGCCAGCCCAGGCACACGACCTCCCAACAGCTGGAGGAGACTGGAGCAACACACAGGTAGGTCTCGCCCTTGTTCTTCATTGCAGCCCAGTTCAGAGTCACTCACTGAGCTCATAGGAAGCAGCCCGGTTTCCTGGACTGGCATCCCGCATTCTACCAGCTGCAGCGACTTGAATCCAGCTTCTGCTTTCCCTTTTGTGGCAGGAATGGGGACTCACAATGGGCCAGAGAGACTTCAGCCTCAGAACCAAGGAGACCTCCTGGCTGCTGAGAGGAGGGCTCTCCCTCTGCTGAAAGGCAGTGAGGAACCATGCCAGTTCTGATGGCCTGCGAGCTGCCATGATGACACAAAGACATGAGGCTGGAGTAGTCACCTTGGTGGGATGGCTGTGCCCACCCGTCACTCTCTTGTGTCTCAACCTTGGCCCAACAAATATAATGACAAATGAGAGAAAGTAGTTACATATAAAAAATAATAAAAATGAATGTGGGTGGAGGGGACATAAAAGAAGAAAACAAATTTTTTAAAAAGTTGCTCAGTTGGCATTGGTATAGAAATCTGCAATCCACTTCTTCATGTGTTTAACTTCCAATAAGCGAGATAACAGCACAGAGGAAGGATCAAAGGCAGTGTGGGATCGAAGATCTAAGTGATGGGCCCCCTCAGGGATGTTGATAGCCACCAGGGTGTCTGAGATGTCTTTGGTTACTCCACCTCCTGACCACGGGTCTAAGTCACCATTGCTGCAAGGGAGGGAAATGAGAAAAAATAATGTACTTTTACAGTTTCCACCCTGGGGATCTCACGAGCATTACACATTTAAACATTACCACTTTCACGGTTTCATGCATACACACATGTATACACACATGTATACACACATCTTCATTTGCCCCTGAGTATACCTGGGAATAGGATTTCTGAGACATGTGATATCATTTATTTTTTCATGAACTGCCAAACAGTTTTCCAAAGTGGCTTTACTAGTTTACACTCCCATTAGCAACATGGGATTCAGATCTTTTTCCACTGTGGATTGGGTGGTGGGATTAGAGAAGTACCTTACCACTGGGCTGTCAGTTTTCACTTTGGTCTTGATTTCTACCCACACACCCCCCAACTGGTACTTATCATCTTTTCATATGTTATTAGGCCACTTGGATATAGTATTTGAAATTTTTTTCTATTAAGATTATCACTTTATTTTTTCTTGTTTGGAGGCAGAGTCTCATTCTAGCCCAAGCCAGCCTGGAACTCACTATGTAGCCATGTTTGCCCCAAACCTGGAACAGTCCTCCTGCTAGAATCTATAGGTATAAGCCACATGGCTGGCTTCTGACCTATTTTTAGCTGGGTCACGTATCTTTTTGTTTTCAAGCTTAATAATTTATTCTCATTAGCCATGGCAGTGCACAGCTATAATCTCAGCACGGGGAAACTGATGCAAGAGGATGACAAATTCAAGACCACATATAAAAATTTTTAATTTTTTCTAGTATTTTATTTAAAAATTTTTTAATTAGCATGCAGAGTATTATTTTCAATAAAATTTGGTTTTATTGATTCTCAGCTCCCTCTTCCTCCCTAGTTCTGAACACCCCCTTGTGCCCTTCCATCCTTCACAACATCCATCTCCATCTCCTGTCTCACGTGTCTTACTATCCACCTTCTTGTTCCCTCATCACCTCTTCTCCCCTCCCTTGTTGACTAGGTTCATGAGGGTTGACCATAGTAAGCCAAAGCAAACCAACCACAACAAAAACAAACCCAACTGACTATTATAGATCCTTATTGTGGCCAATCCAGGTATCTGCCTAATTATAACCACCCTCACTGGTTACCACCTATCTATGGGACAGCTAGAGTCTGCTGGCCTACTGACTCACACACCCAGAAGGATCTGTGCCACAGTGACTACCTCTCTGTCAATTTGTGGCCGAGAACTCATGCATATTTGCTTTAAAGCCACAGATAAAACTCCCCATGTAACATTCATTTGGACAATATAATGGTCCTAATGAAGCTATCAGCCTCTCTCTCTCTCTCTCTCTCTCTCTCTCTTTCTCTCTCTCTCTCTCTCTCTCCCCCTCTTTCCCCCCTCTCCCTCTCTCCCCCCTCTCCCCCCTCTCCCTCCTCCCCCTCTCCTCCCTCTCCCTCTCCCTCTCCCTCTCCCTCTCCCTCTCCCTCTCCTTTCCTGTACTCTCTGACCTTCACTGTGCAGAATTCAGAGGTACTATGTATCCCACAAGTATTAAAAATATTCTTAAACTTACACAAATTGTGGTTGTTATTGAAAAATACATGTGTACATAAAACTATTCAAGGTCTTCCTTAGCTACATAAAGAGTTCAATGTTAGCCTGGACTACATGAAACCGTGTCTCAAAAAAAAACAAAAATGACTGTTATCTTTCCCAATATAAGAACATAAAATGTCTTTCTAATAAAGGAAAATATTTAGATAAGAGTTGAGTGATACATTGATCTATTCTTCACTAGGGTCTATGGCATGTCTACGATAGGTTCTCAGCCGATGATGCTGGGTATGATTTTCACCTTGTGAAGCTGGTCTTAAATCCAATGAGAAAGTGGCTGGTAACTCCCATAATATCTGTGCCACCATTGTACCATTGGGCATATCTTGTAGGACCAGTATTGTAGCTCATAGGCTTCATAGATGGATATGATTGGTGATTGGTGATGACTAGCTTCTTCCTCAAGTATCTTGCTCAACACCTACCAGCACCATGAAAGCTAGCCAGTAGAGATGAAGCTTCCAGGTCCATATAGCTTGATTTTGCCATGTTCTATGATTCAAGTATGTGCTATCTTCCCATCATGTTCTGAAGGGTATCCAGGAGCAATGGCAACAGCCTATAATGTTTAAGGGCTCAAGAAAACCTCACCAACAACCCCAAGGTAAATAACTCATTCTTGGCATTGGTCTTTGAAGGGATAATCCTTTTGTACACTATGTAAGAGTTGTCTTTGTATTACTCAAATGCTGACTTCCATACTAGGAAAGAGTTGAGTACAGGCTGGACTTTGGTGGTGTTATTTTTATGAAGCATCACCTGTCCCAGTGTTTTGTAAACATTTTTCTCCACTACTTTCTGATTTGTCAATAAATAGCTGATCAGCCTAGAACTAGGCAGAGGAGATAGGAAGGCTGAAATTCTGATCCCAGCCAAGGATCCTAGGGAGAAAGAGGTAGAAGGAGGACTACTAGGAAGGAAGAGAAGAGGTGACCATGAGACAGAGGGTCAAGGAGGAGTTGTGATGAGCAGGTAACCAAGGGAGGTCACCATGAGAGAGCAGCTATGAGGACACACATGGACAAAACGAGCCAGGGTGAGACTCAAACTGCAAGTAGCATGGAACTAGAACTAAGAACAAGGAAAATGCTAGGTAAGCATTTATTGGGAAGCCGTTTGTAGTTAGGATCTTTAGGAGGTCTCCTTTGGTCAACTCTGGTTTTTATTAATTTTGAAGGAATCCAAAATTCTTCCCCTGTTGAAACAAAGACAAAACCTCTCTCCCAACATAACACGTTCCCTTCCCTCCATTTTGAAGTTAGGACATCCTTAATATAAACAGGCTGATTGCTCAGCAGGGTTTTCCCATAATCCAATGTCTCTCAGAAGCTGTTGGTTTTTGTTCATTAGCATTCAAAGAATTTTAAGTTAATAAAGCATGATGTAACCTATCTCTAGGAGTCTTTTTTACCCCTTTTTGTTTGTTAAATATATATATATATGTATATATATATATACATATATATGTGTGTGTGCTTATTATATGTGTGTATTATATATGCTTACATATATAATATAAATAATATATAATATATAAAATTATATAATAAAATAATGTATAATATACAATATCACATATATATATCATATAATAAATTAATGTGCTATAATTAACACTAATAGATTATTGTATTAATAATATATTTTTATATTTTATGTAATATAATGTATTCTATACTATAATATTATATTATTCTGTTTATTAACATATAATATTGTATATTATAATAATGTAATAATATTTATATTATGTTCAGGTAGTAAGGATATAAAACTTGAATTTGCTGACCTATAGTTCATGGCTATGCAGACCTAAAGGTGCTCACATGTGGATGAAGGTTTTTGTTTGTTCTTAATTTTGTATTTGTTTGTATTTATTTCATGCCAAATAGAAGTCTTAATTTCTCTCTACAAGATAAATGTTTACAAAAATCACACAGGAGATGGATTGTCAACTCAGACATGAAACCCTCCATTAATTCCAAAACAAAAAGTCCCTGCAGCCACGTGATGAGCAAATTTGCATCTGATTTAAAAGGTCTTCTGAAGCACCTGCTGACTTAGCAACAGTGTTTGGAGCTGCTGAGAGACCTAGCATGTACCTGGACTTGAATTTCTCAGTTCAGACATGTGAAAGCTATGCCAGCCATTGGGAAATCCAAAAATAAAATACTCTTTTCCTAAGAGACTGCACATAACATCCAGCCTCGTTTAATCACTGGCAATAATCAATTTGCCTGAGAAATAATGTGAGTTCTTCATGGGGTTCCTTCTAAATCTCTACATAAATAACCAAGAATCATCGTTGGTCAAATAATCTATGGGTTTTAGAAAATACAAATCCTTCCAAGAAAACCACCATGCTGTGAAAAGAATCACCGAAGTAGGACTGTAACAGATGCTATTTATTAAGGTCAGCTCCTCATCTAATGTTTACTGAGCACCTACCTCGTGTCTGGCACTCAGTAGCAAAGTGGAATGGCATCACTAATGTATTCAATGTTACCTTACTACCTACCACTTTCCTAGTTCTGTTTTCTCACCCATTCTGCAAGTGTCTCCATCAGCCAGCAAACTTACCTGAAAACGATGTTTGAGTGTGAATTGATGTTTTTGCCACCATACATGGTAGTCATCCAATGAGGCCGGGGTTTCACTCCCCACTGGTTAAAGCAGTCATTGGAATATGTCTCCAAGTCCCACAGAAAGGGTTCAAACATGTCATCAACACCATTAGTACAAAAGGGCATGATCATTTCTGTGCAGGCCTGAGAAGCAAAGCACGAAAGGAAACAAAGGGAAAATGAAGAAAAAGGAAAAAAATTAAAATTATGAAAAATCATTCAGCCAGGCCCAAGGTCATTCAGCTAGGGACTGCACTTGCAATGGAGCTTCAGTCTCCTACCAACCCGGCCTCCAACTTCCCCGCCACTCAACCCCTTGTTTCTCCTAGAAGGACACAGCTGAGAAGTCACAGCATTTGTACTGTGTATTCTTACTTCTTCCTTCCTTTTTTTCTTTTGCAGACTTCTTTCACATCTTTGACCATATTTAACCCTCAAGAAGCCTGAGAGTCTTACTGCGCAGGTGATGGGATGGAGACGCAGAGTCACATTAGTTTCCCCTTCCTTCATGTGTCCGTCAATGCTTCCTTTCCAAGACTTGTCAAGGTCTATTAAAGTGTTACTCTATCTCCCTCAACAGGCTATACTTTATGGTAATAGTCATATAAATTATTTATTTTTATATCTTTGAAACATAAGAGATTTTGACCAATGAAAACCATTCATTATATATTTGCTGATGATTAAATATAGGAAGAAAGGAAGGAAGGAAAGAAGGAAGAAAAAGGGAGGGGTCACGTGGCAACTTTACATTGGCCAGATTTGTAGGCAGGTTAGGTAGAAAATGCCAGCAACATATTACAGTACAACAGTATCAGGAAAGAGCACATTGAACTCAGGGAAATCATGCATGCTCACCTGATAGCTCCAGCCCACAGAGCCTAGATTGCTTGTAGTTGTTTGTGAAATATTCAGGCAGCCTGCTTGCCCTGAATAATTATAATATACATTCAGAGCTTGGAAAATATTCTGCAGCAGCACTGTATCAGATACATTAGGATTTTTCAAATATTGGCACACCTCCTAAGAGATAAACATGGGAAGAGTCAGATATGAACAGAAAATTGGTTTAGTAACAAAGAGGAAAGGTTATCTCAGTTTTTACCATTAAATGCTGATAAACACCTTAATCCACTTAAAAAGTTCTATCTCTGAAGAATAATTTCCTTCTTAAAGGGCAACCGTTTAACTTTTTCTGTAGGGTAGGGAAATAAGTTAGTCATTTGCATGGTAAGCAAAGCACTCCCTACAGATTCGACTCCTTCCCCACACCCTTTGCTCCAGTGGCCAGGTAAACCATTCTTTATCAAGCCATGCTCTTTCCCTCTTCCTCAAATCCCCTTTTCCACTCATTAAATCCACAAATGGCTCAACAACTGACCCTTTATAACACGTCAAATATCCCCTCTTCTCTGAGGTTACCCCTGTTTGTGTTTCCCAGCCTGGGAGAACTAAACCACTCCCTTCTTGGCCCTTCACTACACTGTGCACCTATTTTTGTCTCAGCCCCTGCACTACTGTTCTGCATGCATCTAATTTCAGAACATCTCCCGCAATGCTTTGCAAAGCCTCTAATAACTAAATTTTTGCTGAGTGAAGGTCTATATTTTCATAAGAATGCAAAATTTATGAAATTTTGTTTCTATATGTATTTGTGCATGCATGTGGGTCACCATGCGTATGGGTAGGCCATAGAGCAACCCTGGTGTCGTTCCTTAGGTGTTATCCATCTCATTTCATTGGCTGGGACTCACCAAGTAAGATAGGCTGATTGGCCATCAAGACTCAGGGGTCACCTGTCTCCATATCCCTGAATCGGGATTGCAAAGATCCCACCACACACTGCTTTAGTATCTTCTTTTAAAGGCAGCATCTCATCACATAACATTCAATATTTCATCTTTTTTTCCTAATTTTTGTTTTTGTATTTTCATTCTCCTTTTTTCTGTTGTTTTTACCTTTGTGCTTTTCCTTGTTTATTTTTCAGTGAAATTATTGCTTCACTGTATTTTTACAGTTTGCTATTCCTTTCTTGTATTCATCTACTTTATTTCAGTATTAAGTAATTCTATTTCTTTTCCTTAGGGTCTTTACTTTTTTGCCTGCATTCCCTTCTTTCCATACTCTCGATTTTCAGTATATTCTGGATTTTACTTATATTTTTTAAAAATATTCTAATTTTTATAATTAGTTCCCTTCGTGTACTTAGTTAATTTTGGTTTTTAACTTTCTTGTTATTGGGAAACTTTTTACTGTTCTTGCCCCTTGTTTTTCTTATCTTGTTCTTTTCTCTTCCCACTGTAACATTTTTCTTCATTTCTTCATCTTCCACTCTTCTATTTAAATTTATTTTCCCTACATTTCTTCCTTTCTCTTTTTCTCCGTTATTTCACTCATTATTTCTGCACTTAACCCTAAAGGATTTTCAACATCACAGCTCATTCTACAATTGTCTTGTCATTTTCAGTTTTATTGTCATTGGTGACAAAGTGTATTTCTATACCTTAAGTGGTCTGATGGATGTAACAGTATGCATTCTTAACCACCAATCCACCTCGACAGCTCCCCCCCCTCTTATCTTTAGATAAGTTCTCTAAGCTAAACAGTACCAAGGAAACCTCAGAGTTCAATTATATCATAGATTAGGTGGACTTAACATAAATTTATAAAATATTATATCTATAGCTATGCATCAAGATGTTTATCAACATTTTATGATAAAGATTGAGATGATTGCCTTTTTATTGCCTGTTGGCTATCAACCCTTGGAGGGTCACCTGTCTCAGTGTCCGTAGCATTGGGATTATAGCACTCTTACCACCCATGAGACCTTCTATAAAAATACCACTTTCTAGGCTTCAAATCATATAAAATCTTATGGAATAGTAAAGATTCAAAATAATTTCTTACAGCAGATCATAGTGCAATAAAACTAGAAATCAACAGCAAGAGAAATTATGTGAACACATGGAGGGAAAACATTAGACTCTGATTGGCTGGTGGATCTAAAGGAATTGGAAAGGATACTTGTAAAAATTCTAGAATCAAATGAAAAACAAAACATAACCAGACCTTCAGCATACAACTAAGGCAGTTAGTTCTTGGTGGTCATAATTATGGGAGCTTATATTTAAAAATAAGAAATAATCTCAAATAGATAATATAATGACATACCTTAAGATATTAGAAAAATGAGAATATTACAGATCCAAAGCAGCAGATAGCAAGAAATAATAAAGATCAAGACAGGAATTAATGAAGTGGAGACTAAAAGAAAAACTCACAGAATCAACCAAGGGGTTTATTCTTAGGGAAAAAAATATAAAGCAGATTTACAAATCACCTAATCAAACTAGGCAAGGAAAAGAGAGGGGAATTAACTACACAACTAGAGTTGAAACTGGGAGGTTATCACCTTCACTGTCATCTTAAGTAGATTTAGAATCACCATGGAAACATGTCTCTGGTAATGGATATGAGGGGTTTCCAGACATGTTTCACTGACGGTGGAAGCTCCACCCTAAACTTGAGCAGCACTAGCCCATAGGCTGGGGCCTACACTGCCAGCTGCTGCTGTTTCTCCAAGATGGACTGTATCCCCTTGAAAATAAGGTGAGATATAGTCTTCCTCACTTAAGGTGCTCACTTAAGGTATTTAGACACAGTGATAAGAGGAGTAGCAAGGACTAGCACTCTCAGTTATCCTGTATCCCCAAGATCTCTCAGGCACTGGACCACCAACCAGGCAGCATACAGCAGCTGATATGAGGTGCCCAACACATATACAGCAGAGGACTGCCGGGTCTGGGTTTTTTGCACCTAACTCTCAAGAGGCCCCAGGGAGTTTAGAGGTCTGGTGGTGTGGGGGCTGGGGACATCCTCATGGAGACAGGGGGACAGGGAGGAGATATGGGATGTGGAACAGTCCAAGGGTAGACAGGGAGGGGAATAAAATCTCCAGTTTTAAATAGATAAATAAATTATCTATTATCTATATATATATATTATCATATATATATATATATATATATATATATATATATATATATATATGGAGAGAGAGAGAAAAGAACTAGCACAACTTCAAAAGAAGAAATGCAAATGACTTATGTATATAGGTCCCAAGGAAGGATGGACAAACAAAGACTATGGAGATCAAGAGAATCAGTCTTCCCCAAGGAAGAACATGCCTATTGGTTTATCCAATACCAAATGGTCAGCCCTGAAAATATTTACATACAGTATCACTGTAAGAGTTGAGCTGGGCTTGGCAAGAATCTGACATGAGGCTAGAACAAAGAAGTAATCTCAGGCAGGAACCTAAATATTAGGCTAGAACAAGGAAGTAGGCTTCAGAAGAATCTAAATTTTAAGCTAGAACAAGGAAGTAGGCTTCTGACATGAAAATGACCTTGAGCTAGGACAGGGAAGTAGGCTCAGATACTTTGGTCATCCTGGTAAGCCCTTAGAAACAGTGATCACAGCAGTGTTCACATTATTGGGTTTAATGCCTTGCTTTTTCTTTGACTATTTGTGTTTATTGTCTTGCTTGTTCATTGACTATTTGTATCTATTGTATTGTTAGACCCTCAACCTAGAACTGACCTTAATAGTTGCATGTAATTAAAATGGTATAAAAGCATAAAGGAGGAGGGGGGATGGGATGGGGGTTCTAGGGAGAGGAAATGGGACAAGGGGATGACATCTGAAATGTAAATAAATAAAATAGCCAATAAAAAATATAAACTAAGTCGGAAGAATAAAGTGAAAAGAAAAAAGAACTGAGCAGGCTGTATTTATATGTTTAGGAATACACATACCATCACCACCACCACCAACAACAACAACAATTAAAGAAAAAGAGGCCATGAACTTGAGAGAGAACAAAGAGGGAGTACACGGCAGGAATTAAGGGAGAAAAGAGAAAGTAAAAATAGTGATAATAATTTTAAAATACTGTAAAATATTAGGAGTTGTTCAGTCCTGGTGAATGAATATCATCTTTTATGAAACTATTCTTGCCGATGATCTGTGGATTTAAAGCTTTCAAACTCAGCTAATAAAATAAGACAAAACCCCTTTGTGTATGCTAAAGCAAAGAAAGATGAAAGGTGTGAGGAGGAAGGAAGTGGGTTAGAGGGAGAAAGAATGGAAGACAGATGACCAATAAATACTTGAAAAAGTGTCAAAGTCCTGAGCCATCAAGAAAATGCAAAATAAAACTGCTTTGAGGTTTCATTTCATCAAGACAGAGTGGCCATGATGAAGATAACAAATGTCAACCAGCGCTGGTGAGGACAAGGGAAAAGAGGACCTCTTATTTACCACAGGCAAGAATACACAATAAAACAGATACGTGCAAATCAATAAGGAAGCTACTCAAAAACAGAATAGAATGACAGCTCTGACACTCCTGGCTAAATACTCAGAAGATAGGAAGGTAGCAAGCACACCACAAAGATACAGGGACACATCTAGATCCTTCTTAACTGCTACGATATTCATAATGTCTAAAAAAATGAATCTGCATACATGCCCACCAACAGAGGAATGGTAGAGATAATGTGGTATTTACAAATAATACACAATTCCATTCAGTCATAAAGAAAAACAAAATCATGACATTTCAGAAAACTGGAAATGAGGAGTCATTGTTTTGAATTTTATTTTATTTTATTTTATTTTATTTTATTTTATTTTATTTTAT